AATTGTATTATTTTTGCCAGTGGCGTCTGCACAGGTTTTGTATTGAATATTTTTGAAGAAAAATATGTTACGCCACTGCTTTTTATTTAAGTAAAAATCATTTTTGAAATCCTCATTCCTTTCTGAGCAAATGTGGTGTCTTGAATTTGTTTCGTTTGACGTACGGTTTTCGCTTAAAAAAATAAAATTAATTAATTTGCATCTAATTTATGGGTCCACTTACGAGACAAAAAAATTATGTAACTTTGAACAATAATTTATTTAAGATAATAACTTTTAAACATTGAAATTATGAAATTACAGTAATCTACATACATTTTGGATTGGTAAAAGAAAATTACCCTGGCGTTACATTTTTCTTCAAAAATTTTCAATACAAAATCTGTACAGACGCCACTGGCAAAAATAATAAAATTGTTTGTACATCAGAAAATGCATCTCGATGAATACTGTTGCAGCATTTGCTACGTGTTTTTTTTTTATCTTAATATTGTCTTTGTTCCGAATCTACAAAAATATATAGGCTATAAATCCACTTCATTTAAAATGTGTGACTTATGATTAGATAATTTGTAAAATAAAATCGCTCTATATTTGATATTCTACGGATGATTCTATAGAATAGGTTTATAAATTAGGAGCTGGAGATAACAAATTTATACAAGTGATGAAAGTAAAATTGAAATTCGAAGGATTATTGCCGTGCCAACATGCAACTTACATAATTGCGCGCACAAATATAATATTAATATAATTCGTAATTCTGAAACGACCTCTTCAGGCTATTAACATGTGAAATCCAAAAACAACATTGTTCTACATTTGCTACAAAATAATCCATGCCAATTTCTGTAAAGATTTATTCATTTTCATTGTAGTCAAAAATAGGAGGGATTCTAAAATGTGGGAAATATACAGAGTGTTCCATTTAAAAAAACAAGTTTGATTTATATACCTATTCAAAAAGCAAGAGAGTTGTTTTTTATATTTCTCTGATATCGCAACAAAATTTATTAAAACTTAGAATGTTGTGTATTTTGTGTGAATGTAGAAAGTTTTGTGAATTACTCTGTACATTATCTTTCTGCTAATGCAGAAACTTGCTGAACTTTTTTCAAAAGTTTATTATAAATAGAACCTTAAATATTACCAATATTTTAATATACAGAAGATATTCCATAAAATATTATATTTATAGACCTATTGTTGCCGGTATCCCTTAGTTATTTTTATTTTCTTTTATTCATTGTCCTTGATTTTATAGAATGCAGTTACATGTAATAAAAATTAAAATTTTAAGTCCGAAGTATCCTTCACCAGAAATTTCAAATTGTCATACCTAATACAAAGGGGAATAGATATTTAAAATATGGGCCACTTCCAAGCAACCCAGAAAATGAATCTGATATAAACGGAAAGTCTGGAACTCGAGAAAATTCAATAACACCATAGTCACATTCGGCGCCCTGTCTCAAACAGTTACGATGACCTCTTAACCCAAATAGAGAAAGTACACATGGAAATAAGTTGGCTTTTTTCTATTTAGAATATGTAAATAGAATCCTTGATGTGGAAATTAACCTCGAAATGTTTACGATGAAATAAATATATAAATAAATAAATACTTAAAAGTTCAAGGATTTTATTTGTGTTCCTATCTAGGAGTAGGTATATTATAGTTATTTATGGTAACGACAAAAGCGTAGTGTTATGTAAAATAAATTACCTAAACAAACATTATTATATTATTATTTTATTAGCCTTATAATTTAATTAATTTTTGGGAAATTATTTCTAAAAAAGTATTCTATTTATATCTCGTTAAAAGCAGGCTTTTTCGTAAATCAATCATGTATCTGAAACCTTTTTATTTGGTAAAAGCTTTTGACCATGATTCTGAAGAAATTGATGCTACTACTGAGAATCCTACATATCTCTCTTAATTAGTTAAGAATACATTTTTGTTAGAATCATAATAAATTGTCAAATTTGCACAAACATGAAAAAAATTATATACAGAAAAATACTATAGGTAGCTCCAAATAATATCCCTTATGAGAATGATTAAATTGTGCAGTATTCAGTTCACTTTGCTCCAAAGAAAAGATATTTAATTCACTGTATATCGACACTTTTTACTACTCTAACCAAATTTGTATACACTCTGTATATAAGGTGAAATCCAAACAGGACTTTTTAAAAATAAGAACAAAGTGTTTTTTTAGCAAAACCGATTTATTTTATTTAAAATTCCTCAATACAACGATTTGCACGGTCTAAAAGCGTGTCAAATGTGAGTTTTGGATTGTCGGCAGGATGTTGGTACATGCCTTTAGGATGGCGTCTACATCCACAAAACGTTTTCCTTTCATCGGCAAATTCATTTTTCCGAAAAGGTAAAAGTTTTTGCATAATTTTTAAAAATATTTTAATTGCTCCGAGGGCATTCTAATTTTGGTCAAAAAACCTTAAGAGTATAATAAAATAACAAACAACACACCAAATTTCATTAAAATCGGTTTAATAGTTTTCGCAAAATAATTTTTTGAAAACAATTTTGAAAAAAATTTTTCGAATTTTCAAAATGTTGCACAGTCAAATAAAGCATCTAGATACTTGAAAATTTTTTCACATAGAAACGACTGCCAACCTTTCAAATGGTTTTTGAGAAATTGAAATCGGTTTATTAGGACGGCCACAAAAAATGTTTAAAATTAACACCCTTTTTTTATTTTAAAACAGTTAGATTACATTTATCAATTTACAATTCAGTTTTTTTCAAAAATTATAATTTTATAGTACTATTTTTTCTTAATTTTATCTGTATTTAAAAAAAAATTAATTTCCAAATAAAAAAACTTTTTAATTTGTTTAAATAAAAAGTATTTAAATAATTGTAATAGTTATAACTAAATATATTCATATTCAGAGTGTTGAAATATATACGTAAACCAAATTTTGCATTGAAAAAATGCAATAGCATAGGGTAAAATATACAGTATATTTAATGCATAAATAATAAACTTTGTTTATAACAAAAAGGTGCAAATTAGATAGTTGGCATTACGTTATTCGAATTCCTTGGCTCGCGAGACATCGAATTAAAAAAAAAGATCGAAATTGGTCCATTAGAAGCCGAGATAATGCAATTTTTTTCGTACCTTCGCATTTTGAACCTCCGAATTCAGTCTCGGAGCGAAAGCCCCCTCCCCACTTTTCATGTTTTGAATCACTTTTCGCGCATGCGAGCGACAGCTTTTCCGATGATTTATCTATGTTGCCGATAACTTATGGGTATGAGCATTTTTCCAGCTTAGAACTCGGAAAAACGAAACCACTAGATCAAAGATTATTGCTAAATTGTTTATATATTAACGGTAAATGCCGATAAACTTTAGCCACTTATATCTCGAGAATCAATGAATGGAATTTAACGATTTTTTTAAAAAAAAAAGAAGCGTCTTTCCGAGTACATACTATAAAATTATAATTTTTGAAAAAAATATTAAATGTAATGTAATTGTTTAAAAATAAAAAAAACAGTGTTGACTTTAAAAATTTACTGTGGCCGTCCTAATCAACCGATTTCAATTTTTCAAAAACCATTTGAAAGGTTGAGCGGTCTTTTCTATGTGAAAAAATTTTCAAGTATCTAGATGCTTTATTTGAGGCTGTTCAACATTTTGAAAATTCGAAAATTTCTTTTCAAAATTTTTTGCGAAAACTATCGAACCGATTTTAATGAAAATTGGTGTGTTGTTTTATTTTATTTTACTCTAAAGTTTTTTTACCAAAATTAGAATGCCCTCAGAGCAATTAAAATATTTTTAAAAAATTATCCAAAAAACTTGATTATCTTGCCTTTTTTTCATCTATTATTGCTATTTTTAAACATCGGTAATAAATTTAAACATTTTTAACTTCCAGTATATTGTGTAAAATTCAATTCTAAAACTTTTTTCCTCTTCAATAGTCAAAATGCATAGGTTCCAAGATATAAAAAAAACTCAGATAAAATAGGTATTTTTTTAAATTTTTTAAACATTTTTGCAATTTTGAAAATGTTCCGGACCTTACCTAGATCTAGAGATCTACGCTTTTATTATGCGAGTTGTACCGAAGGTATTCCAGCAAAAATTAGTTTGTAAATGTTTGTAAAAGTAGTATTGGTACATTTGTATTCAATTATAACAAAAAAATATTGATATAATATAGTGTTTATAAATATTTATTGCTATAAAGTTACTGAATTTAGATCTAGCTATTGCCAGTCAACATTGATTTAAAAAAAATATGGAACTTATTCAACTATAAATTTAATTTTAAAGCAAATAACGTAAAAGATATTATTTTCTACGTTATCTTAACTAAAACATGTATTAATTTGCATCAAAAATAATTAAATAAACTGAAATTTTCTGAATAAGTCTAAGTTTAATTCACCATGTAACTCATCTATTCAATTTTTTTTGTCATCGCTAATTAGTATTTCGTTTTTTCGGTCAAATATATAGTTAAAAGATAGTACATCTTGCAGGAAAATTAATATCAAATAATTTATTAATTGTGATAAAAATTATTTTATAATTTCAAATTAAAAATGCAGATCACGTCGGTAAACATTAAAAAAAAAAATAATTAAACATTACCTATAGGATTTAAGTGTATTTTATGCTAAACAAATATTTGAATTTTGCAAAATAAAATATACAGCGTCTATCTTTCTTGGCGTTTCACTCATTTAAAAAAAAATTAGAATGAAGTTATTTTTGATAAAATAATAATTGTTAGTCATTTCACTGATATAACTAAATAAAAGTGTTTACCGAGTTTTCAAATGTAGGTAAATATAAAGTTTGATAGTCTTGTACATAAAGATACGTACCTACCGATATTAAAATGTCCTTTGTTATTTTAACACAAAAATATTTTAAAAATTTGTTACTGCACAAATTATTTAAATTAACCACCGCTATTAATTTTATAGATTTGAAACTCACCACCCTTCCTTATCACTCTTCAATTTCTCCTTTTTCTCTTCCACAGCCATTCACAAAGTAAAAGCTTCTGTTACCACCAAAAATAAAAACGACACCTACGACCACGTGTTAGTGTTATACATACATTCACCCTGCGTGACTGTGTATTGCGGGTTAACTAGTTTTCACTGCTGACACACTTTTGCGCAAATCTAAAAGCCTTGGGGATATACAACCTGTCAGTTGCTAGAACGAAGTGACCCCATTTTTATTCGACTAAGAACGAGGGAAAGAGATTTAAATCAGTCGCAGAATCTTCGTGATTCTGGACCTGTACCTGATGATATCTACTGACTTTTTTTGGAAGTTTTATCAAATGGCAAAATTTAAATTTCAGGTATTATATGCAACTGCAATTTCTCACAAAACTATGACTATTTTTAAATATTTATTTACATGAAGGTAGAGTGAAGGTTTACAAAATCAAAAAGTGGTACTTTACAGGACGAACACGCAGGTTTGAAAAACATGAGAGCTCTGTAAAAGACTTTCTGAGAGTAGCGAGTACAATCTTTTTGTGCTGCCCGCTAATAATTTGACAATAATAAAACAACAACAGAATATTTTTATATCAAGATAATTACGATTTGAACCTTCTGTTAACTTGTTCAATTCATGTGTACTAAACACTCTGGACTTCTTTGCTTTATATTCCACAGATTTTGTTCTTTAGGAAAGGTATAATTTTGGAAATTTGTTAATATTAAGGTTCTTCTTGGCTATTATCATTGTTTTAGACGTTGAATCCATACACTTGATGACTTAAGCGTGTTCGATTTTTCAGCTAAATAAGCTAACACAACATTTTCATTTACTACCATTATTTTTTTATTTTGGCACCATTCTTCGAAAGATTCACATGCTTTTTCATACCTTTTCCAGGATTTCATTGGTAATCATCAGTGACAGCAGCAGCCACTTGTTACTTGTTGAGTATGCAAGAGAATGCTTTCTTCGGCACTTTAATCGAAATTCATCTTTAAATTACTTGGAGAAATAAAAAATATAAGCATCAAAACATCAAAATATTCTGCCGGTAAGCAACTGTGATATTTACCTACATTGTTTTTGTAGGCTATTGATTATATCCAAAAAACAGGGTTAAAAGGAACTTTGACGTTCAAGCAATTTTATTGCATGAATCGTTCAAAGGGTCATTTTGGATGAAAAAACCGCGGAGTGCTATTAAATTAGAGGGTGAATATTGGAGATAGGGGTGAAAATGCACCCCTTTCAGTTTTTTAATTGCAGCTCGAAAACGAAGCAAAATTTCACCATAGTTCATAGGAAATATTATTTAAAGAATTGAATTTCCCATCGATATGGCTTATTTAAAAAATTTAAAAGGAAAATTTTATGCAAAGAAACAATTTGAAAAAGAGCAAAATTCAATTTTTTAATTTTTTTTTACTTTTTGCCTCTAGTTTTTTTGAGTAAAGATAGGTATAGGCATTGCTTCATTAAAATAAAGTAGATAAAATTTCCTTCAAAATATGAGGTTGTATTTTTGGATGAAAATTTACTGATATGGCCGCTCAAACCTACAATTAGCCAATTCGTCGATTTTCGTTATACGATACGTTTTAATTCTCATTTTTTGCAAAAAGGGAGGAAATAAGACGTTCAAGGATTTTCATCACATGACTTGTTCGAAGGGTCACTAAAAATTAAAAAACCGCGGGGTGCTATTAAATTAGAGGGTTGAAATTAAAGACGAGGGTGAAAATGCACTTTTTAAATATAGCACGAAAACGAAGCAATATTTCGGTATAGTTCAAAGGAAAAATTTTATAGAGAATTGATTTTCCCATGGAAATGGCTTATTTAAAAAATTTAAAAGAAAAATTTTGTGCAAAAAATCGTTAACAATTAAAAAAAAAGTAATAAATAAGATTTTTTATTTTTTTTTACTTTTTTGACTTGAAGTTGTGAAAATCTTTATTTATTATTAACAAATAAAACTTTTGATATAATAAAGAACCAATTTGTTGTAAAAATGATAAGAATTATAATCATTATGTTAAAAACGACGAAAATCTAAAAAATATTTAAGTTCGACCAGTTATAAGTCAGTCAATATTAGTCCAAAAACTTTTGAAAACGCATCATTTTGAAGGGAATCTCATCTAAGTTTTTTGTACAGCAATTTTCTTTGCCTAATTCTACTAAAAAAAAAATATAGGAAAAAAGGTAAAAAAATCAAAAAAATCTTTTTTAGTTTTTTAAAATGGTTTATTATAACCTATTATAACCTCATTGTAAAAAATTATTGACTTTCTCAATGTAGGTAGATATATTATATTTGTGGTTAGGCAAAATGTTTTTTTATTGTTGTGTTGGTAGGTAATAGTTTGTGGGAAAGAATTCGCAAATTTGTTATAGGTACATGCATCTTATTAATAGTCTGATATTTGAACACTGTAAAAATTGCATGGTCGTTGAAAATACTTAAGTGAAAGTATGGATAGTCGATACTATACAGGAGAATGCATGTACATAATTTATTGATTTTTAAGTACCTAAAGCAAATTTTAATCGTAAATTCTCATGAAATTATTGTTTTGTTAAGAAAAGGTATTAGACCTTTGGACATGCCATATGTTTAAATGCCTTTGCCTTTCAACCAACTGTACTAAAAATAATTTTCCTCTAGAATACAGTAGATAATTTATATTCAAGTGTCGGAAAAGATTGATTATTGGGACTTAACGAGAAAATATTTAACCCCTTTCAGTCAGTGATTCATTATATCTACAATGTTTTATGTATTATCGTTAATATTCTCTGGCAAAACTTATATACGAGAAAATGTTTCTATGAAACTTGTTTAATTGGAAAGAAATGCACTCTATACTGAAGGTAGGTAATGATTATATTTTGTGAAACTTGAAATTACTAGTACAATTTCACGAAACGTGCAATGCGAGTGTCGCGGTTTTACTTTTCCCTGGCTTCTATTTTCAGGAAAGGGATTGTCGGACTCCACTGTAATTTATTTTATTACTACCTTTTAGGCTTTACCTTGCCTGAACACCATTTGAAGTCCCCTGGGAGTACCTACCTTCATATTTGGACTTCTGGCAGCTCTTTGATTCTGAATGACTTAGAGCAGTTTATTTTTGCTGCTTAGAGCTTGTTTGTATTTGTATCACGTGGGATCTTCGCCACAGACTCGAAAACTGTTGAATGGGTTGGCTGCTAGATATAGGATACGCCTCGAACGGTGTAATCGCATAAATTTTCAACAATGTTTTGAATTCATTATTAACAATATTTAAATTCTATATGATGGAGTATATACAAAGCAAACTATAGAACTCAAGACAATACTTCAGCGCTGGCCACGTTTTCGTCCTGGTTAATGAACTGACAGATATTGGAGTAGACGTTCGATCACTCCCCATGATTGCTCCGCCGTAGACTTCCGGGAATTTTCATTTTAGTCTGCTTCATAGGAATGGTCGGCTAGATACTTTTGAGCATCGGCAACTACTTCTGTCGGGGCTTCTCTCGCGTAGATGGGCTGCAGATGGTTTCGTTTTTACAGATATTTTTAACCTTTGCTTAACTGATTTTTTAGTCTAAGATTGAAAAGGGAAATGTGAAAGAGCAATTTAAATAATAAGTGGCATTTTAAACCAGCGATTACCCAAATTCTACAGAAAACAAACTGTATCTCCAGCAGAATAGAACAGCTCTCATTGTAGGTACTCTAAATGTTAGCAAATTCTTAGTCGGTTTCCAAAAAGAATTGCAATGGGAGTTCATGTACAGTGGTAGGTAAAAAAATTATAATTTTTTGGATGTTGCTACAAATATTTTTTTGGTGTCGGCTTGGTTAGAAGAGGTGAATAATTTCATTAATTTTTATGTAATTTTTGCACTTTTAACATATGCATTTTTCTCCACCATCAACCCTTGATCAATTTTCAATTTTGTTAAAATGCAAAATTTAATGCCACAAATTCGGTTGCTTTCTGTGACTTTAATTTTCAATTCTTAAATATTTCTTTAAATAAGAAAATATAGTGTAATATTAATATACATTTAATACATGATTATTTAAAAGTATAAGCGCAATAATTTTGAGATCAAATAAAATATTTTACTTACCGCACATGTATCATTATGAATTACAATAGTGGTGACGGCTCTTCCATACTAGGGAGAGTGAAAAAATTTAAGTAGGTACAAAGTATTGAAAAAAAAAATTAAATATAATTGGGTAGTTTTATTTTACGAACTGTTGAAATATAGTGTAAATGTGTTCAACATTATTTTTTCTGCTTTTGTCCAAAATAAACTTTTCAATTACTTTTTCATGAATGTTTGGTATTTCTCGCACCACTGATTTTTCAACAGATATACACTGCAAGTGCTGTTAGTCTGTCTTTACAATCTAAACAAAGCCCAAACTGCATAGTAAATATGTGCTACTCCCACTCTGTTTTTCACTGCTGCGCGATGGTAACCATAACCAGCGCTGTAAACACTACAGATTTAGGAGCGAGCTACGAGGAGCCCACGTATTGTGTTTTTTAAATGAAAAGTCAATACCTACACAAATTTAACATTTCTTTTTCCAGAGTCCCCTCACACCAGCCGCCACAGAATTACAATAGCACTGCGAATTTTTTATTTCTGTGGAAACGTAATAAACGCAACCTACAGGGCCTATCAAAATGTCGAAAAGTAATAAAATAAGCACAATGATACGAAAAATTTTCTCAGAAGATCTTTATTATTCATTATCACAACATGATCTACATTATAAAATGCAGTAAAAAATACATAATTGCAACATATTTTGATACAAAATGATCCTTATCATTTTGTTAGGAATGTTGAAGTACATCTTAAAACAATAAATAAATAAAAACTAATATCTAGCTGCCACCAAAATGATATAGAAAACAAACACTTTTAATGTCAAGCGACTTAAGTACATACTAAAAATCCAGTTATGTTTTACTGAGACATTAATTGCTTTTTATAAAGTGGTAGTACTAAT